CTCAACACGACCATTTTGCTGCGGTGTATAGACACATGAAGTCTGATGCAAAATACCGGCTTGATCAAAAAATGATTTTAAACACATAAATTCGGTGCCATTATCACTCCTCACCACCCGAACCTTTTTATCAAACTGTCGTTCTACCATTGCACAAAATTTCTTAAGTGAGTCAGCTACTTCGCGTTTCTCTTTGAGGAGAAAGATCCAAACAGCTCGCGAGTAATCATCGACAATTGTAAGAAAATAAGCAGCCCCAGATGAAGAAACCGTGCGATAAGCTCCCCAAACATCACAATGAATCAAAGCAAATAGCTCAGTAGCTTTATTAGAACTTTCATGAAAACCAACACGAGTTTGTTTAGCCCGAAAACAAGTGTCACAAACGATCTCTGTTGCAACAGATTTCCCAATGTCAACATGACTCGATAAATAAGATAAAACTCTACTAGATGGATGACCTAAACGACAATGCCATAAGTCTCTCGCTCCCATAGTTGTTGCAGCTTGAGCGTGAGCACCTAAGACCCCACGAAGCACATAGACCCCTCCGCACTCTTCACCGCCAATCAGCGTCTTCGAGGTACGGCCCTGAAAAACACATGAATCTTCAGTAAAAGTGATCGAACCCTTGGTCGCCTTAAGCAACTTAGACACAGAGATTAGGGAACAATTCAAATTAGGAGAATATAGGACTCCACGAAGCCATAAATCACCCCCTAAACAGAGATCGCCTTGTTTGGTAGCAATAGCATAATCCCCATCCGGTAAACCAATGGAACACGGGAAAATATCACCAATATTGGTTAAAAGATCAAGCTTCCATGTCATATGATGAGAGGCTCCGGTGTCAATAATAAATTCAACATTATCTTTCTTACCAGTTAGCTTTTCACCAGAGTCGTTCTTCTTAGTATTAAGGAACTGCCTCATTGCATCCCATTGTTCATCCGTTAGTTGCGGTAAGGAGTTTTGGTCAAATTCTTCTCGGTTTGCTCCGACGTGAGCGGCTTGTGCGACTTGTGCAACATGAGCACCAGCTGCAGGTGCATATCCACGTCCACGCCCAGCATTATTACCAATGGTACCACCTCCACGACCGCTTCTTCCACCACGAGCACCACCTCTTCCACGGCCTCTCTCACCCCACCATTCCGGAAATCCCTTTAATTGGAAACAGTCTGCTTGTGCGTGGCCATATTTCCCACAGTGAGTACAGGTCACATCTTTCTCACGGTATGGCTCACGGGAAGAATGACCACCACGTGTTCCAGCATAAGCTAGAAACCCTACAGCTTCGGTACTGCTCGTTTCCCGGTTTCGTATAACTGTTTGTTGTCTCTCTTCTCGGATAATGCGTTGGTAGACTTGAGAGAGCTTAGGAAGTGGTTCTAAACTTGTAATTGTAGATCGCACTGTGCCAAAACGAGAATCATCCAATCCATTGAGAAATGTATTGGTTCTCTCTTCATCACGATCTGCTTCAAGTTGAGCTGCCAGCTCACCACAGCTACACGTTCTAATTGGCTTGTATATTGCCAATTCATCCCACATTTTTTTAAGTTTCCCAAAGTACACCATCACTGTATCTCCTCCCTGTCGACAATTAGCCAAGGATGCCCGAATCTCACTAATCCTTGGTCCGTTTCCGGCAGAGAATTGCAGCTGCAAATCATCCCATAGAACCTTCGCTTCATCAACCATAGAAACAGAGGTCCTCAGCGTGGGTTCAATTGTGTTCATTAACCACGCCACCACCATCGAATTAACGACCTCCCATTGCTCGATCTCCTCTGCTGTGTGAGGCTTTTGCAAAGAGCCATCAATGAATCCCATCTTTCGTTTAGTCCGCAGGGCATTCC